TTTTTTGGTATTTTTGAAACAGGGTCTCCCTGTAGCCCCAGCTGGTTTGGAACTCACTGTGTAGATCTGCCTCCCAAGTGCTGGTACTACAGGCATGCACCACCATGCCCAGCCTTTAATTTAATTTTTAATTCAATTTATTATTATTGTATGCCTGCACGTATGACGCATGTGTGTGCATGTGCACTTGTTTCATGAGGACAACTTTTAGGAGTCTGTTCCTTCCTTTCACCATGGGCCCCAGGCATGAAACCTGAGTCCTTAGGCTTCTGTGGCAAGTGCTTTTACCTGCTTAGCCATCTCACCAGCCAGCATGTTGTACACAGTTTTTTTTTCCCCCCCAGAATCTCTTCTTACTTAATTTATCATGTCGTCTCTACATGACAATAAATGTGTTCCTAAAATAATTTTGGTGGGCTTTCATAAGTGAGGAATATGCGGCGTGTATTAAAAACCAGCCATCATTACCATCATTAGATTTTTTTATTATTAGGATTAATACAACAAAGACTCCTTTACATAAATATTTATTGCTTTTGCAAAAGCCTTGCAAGGCTTTGTTCCTGAGGGATTATGCCAGGTTATAACAGCCCTTCATGTAAGCACGGCTTTTCCTTGTCTTGAAACTCTGCATAACAGGTAGAGGCTTCTCCTCTTCCTCCTCCTCCCCTGCCCCCTCCTCCCTCTTCCTCCTCCTCTGGCCTGTTAACCTCCTTTGTTAGTTTTCCTCATCCCAGGTGCCCTTCCTCCTGCAAACACCTTCTCCCAGTGGCTTCCCCCCCCCCCCCCCCGCCGCCCCAGCACCTGTACTGCCTCAGAGCCTTACCACAGGCTGGTCCATGGCTGGCTTGCTTGTCTGGATCCTTCAGCTGTCCAAGCCAGACATGGTGTTGATCTTTCCACCATTGCCCAGCTCCCATATGCTGTGGGTCATCTGTATATGGGCTTGGATAAATGAAAAAAACAGTGACTATTTCCTATGGCAAGGCTGGTTGTCTGGCTGACTTTGGGGGCAGATTTCCTCTCTGGTTCCCTTCCTGTGGCTTGGTCAGGCCTTGCTTCTGG